ATTGACGTAACAAAAATAATCGATTTTGGTATCAATTGAAAGCTCTGTTTCTCGTGTACGCGTCTTTGTTATTGTTTGCGCCATACAAGGTAAAAACAATTCAAATTATAATAATAATAAAGGTAACAGTAACAGTACTAATAATTGTCCGATACTGTAACGATACTAATACCAATAAGAACGATGGGTAAAAATGCTGAACTTACTGTTGTCGAACGAGCACAAATAGTCGGATTATACAAAGGTGGCCATAAAAAGTCCAGACATTTGCAGAATTATGGACCGACCAGAATCTACAGTTAGAACAATACTTAAACGATATGCAAATTCGGATGCTCCCAGAAATCTTGTAAATTTAGAGGAGAAAATCCCGCGAAGAGTCTTCCTCAAATTAATTGATAGTATGCCTCAACGAATAGAAGCATGTATTGCCAATAATGATTGGCTAACAAGATATTAGTATTTCATTAAGCTAAGACAAAAATAAAAAAAAACCGCGCAAAGGTAGTGTATATGTCGTGCATAAATCCCGTCAAAGTACCCCAAAATTGAGGAGTCCCTAAACATTTTTCTTATTATTATCTCAATCAGCGGATAAACGCTATGAGTTATGTAATAAGACTACTGTAACAATAACAGCAGTAACCCTTGTGTTTTCCTACCAAGCATAAACTATAGTTACAATATTCACTATTTTATTGTTATGTAATATACCATTCTCAGTTACAAAATAAAGTTTATTTTTTCCACATCAATTGTTTACATCCAATATTTAATATTAGAAGTCATACGTCAAGTACTTTTACAACTAACACTAGCTTTATGGAATCGATTGTCATACATCTGTTTTGCTTTTCTACAACCGCATTGGCCATCAACGCATGTGTCTTTACAACCACACATTATCCGTCGACCGCTGCTCGATGCAACCCCCACTGTGCTTTGGGGTCTTTCTCAATATTACTTTTTTTCTGTGGTATATTACCCAGCCCAGGAAACTCTGCTGCTTCCAGGATCGTCAAAGTAGATAAATGGGTAATCATGCTGACAAATGGTGGTCTTATATTGAGATGTTTAATGTCGGTATTGCCGTTAATCGGTTGATGGATCGTATCTGCCCGCATGAACGTTTCGCCTCCCATTCTTTCCGGTCTGGCTGACAAAGGATTTAGGATTAGTAACTGTGCCCAATTTATTATTGACTTCCCTATCCCACCGAGCATCATAGCAGACCAAGGTGCCCTAATGGGTCCGGTGCTGCTTACTGCCGGCATTAGGCCTTTGACACTAGATAGCAAGTACCGTAGCGATCTGTGTGCCAGCACCAGTTTTGTGGCTCGGCGAATGGCCGAGGTATCCGAGTAGACCACCAGTCATGCCTCCGATACCTGCCGATAAAAATGGATTTCACTACCCTTTTGTAACTATCAAGAAGCATCCGTGCACGTTCCTGTCGGCTGGCTGGATTATAGAAGCAACGCAACGATGTCGTTAATTTGCAGCTTTTCGAGAACTGACGCGTTGTGACACAACATCATTACACTATTGCTACTTGTACCAGTCTATAATTTGTGCTGTCTACGAGACTGTTCTGAGGCTTTCGTCCATTCGAAATAGTGGATAGTCATATTTTCTAACTAGATTTTCGATGTAACAATAATTTTTTGCCGTATTATTATTTCAATGACAACCTTGGTGCAATTGATGTTCACTCTTCCTGTGTTCAAACAAAATCATGCTGGGGGATATTACATGATGCAGTTCTATTCCCGCAAGCGTGCCAGAGGTACTCGGCGCTTTGTGCCATGACGACAGCAAGCTGTACATGATGGTTGATGATCTCTATTGTTTTTGCACTTTCAAGACTATGAGAATAAGAAAATACGAATATCTAGAAAAGCGTTAAGAGTTTCGGGACACCGCGGATATATAAAAAAAGTGAATGTAGAGAAAGGCTTTAAATGACGACAGCGGTATCGACTCCAGCAGACAACTGCATTATAGACAAGCCCATCCACCGTTTCAATAGCTGCTTTTGAAGGTGATTTGGATATACTTTGTTTAGCAGCGTATGATGAATAGCTTCCAAGCGTTGTCGTTTGCTGCATGTTGTTGTTGTCCTAATCTTGCGCTTTTTTCCTTGTTTGGGGTTTTCGTCAGGCGACCCCTTGCTTGATTGTAAGGATATCTTGGGAAAATTCGTGCTCGTCGGAGGTCGCTTTGTTGACGAAAACCATAAGTTTTGTAGTATGGGGGGAGTGAATGAGGTCGCGGCAGAGTCGGTCACAATGGGCCACAATTTCTGAGACCATGCCGCGACTTTCCGTTCTTAAGTTCGTAGGGAGAGCTGTTGAGTTGTTTGTAGGTTGTAGCTGAGGACCTCCTTTTGCTTGAACCCTTTTTTGGTGGTGGTGGTGGTGGTGTAGCATTGAGGAGAGAGTTATGTGTTTACGATTTTAAATGATTTTTCAAATTAGCAAAAAATTGACGAGTTTGGGGAAAAATGTCTTTAAATATGTTTATAGTTGTCGGCATTTGAATGGCGGAACTGAGAACGCGCATAAAACATGCAATCTCATATGAAAACGGTTCTGAAGCTCTCGGCAATACCCAAGGCAAATCCGTCCGAGTGAGGAATGATTACGCCGACCACAAAGGCTCCAAATATACAGTGCGCGAAAAAAGTTTTTGGAATAAAATGCATAAACTCTATTTCCTTCCAAAATACGCGTCTAATAAAAACAGTCAACTAATACGTTTTGTTCTTATGCATGTAATGCCGACAAGAAACTCGGTTACATAACTTTGTTACTTGTGTCATTTGTTTTATTTGTTTACACTTTTCGTTTTGTTATTAAAAATACAACGACAAGGTTTTGATTGACGTCGCAAGATCATAACCACTCTGTGGGCAAAATAGTATTCAAGATGTCTACACTCTACATAAATTAACTTTTGTTTTGCCTTCTTCCAAGTATACGATGTTAAAATGCTTAAAATAAAGGGTTTTGAGAAGAGCTTGGAAAAAGCACTTATGTTAATTTGAAAGCATGCCGTCAAAATTGAATAAAATAATGGACAGAATGGTTTAAGATAAGCTATTGAGCAGCAATATGTTGTACGATGAAGAACGAATCTGTTCATTTTTCGCTACACAATTAATAAAAATATTATTCCAAAAACTTTTTTCGCGCACTGTAGTTCATAAGTGTGCTTTCTATATTATAGTAATTGCCATACAAAAATGAGTTATAACTAGAAAACTCCTCCGGTCAGTGCACGAAAACTTTTGCCTAGACTAATTTTCATTTGCCTCAGAATTACAGTCGAACCTGGTTATAACGAAGTTTGCTTATAACGAAGATCTGTTTATAATGAAGATGAATTTCTCTAAGCTAATCGTTTTTGAGATCTGGCTGGCTATAGCGAATTTCATTAAGAACACCTGGTTATAAGGGATATTTTCTCTGGTCCCATAGGATTTGTTATAACCAGGTTCGACTGTATTATTATTATGGATAGTATCATTCTACATTTTAATTTTGCATAACCATGATCTAAACGTACTAGCCAGTTAGCGAAAGAATTTCTTAGAAAGAGCGAAGTGAGACAATTTGCCTAATTTGACTACATTAAATTTAATTAATTTAATGAAAAATCACCATCAATTGGTTATTGAAAATAATGGGGGTGACAAATAACCATTTACGTGTTTCAAGCTCTGAATTACAGTGTGTTACAAAAGTCTTTGGACACAAATATTCTGCCATAACTTCGACATAATAGCATTGTATCACATGATTAAATACTCGTTTGGAGCTAAAAATTAGATACTTTTATTTAAAAGTTAATTAGGCATTCGTTATCCATGAGCAGGGGCACAAGAATTGTTATCGAAATTACGCACTCATTAGGCTTTGTTCCATGAACGACGTATAGTTTGATTTAGCATATGCGATTACATTGTAGAAAATATAAGCAACGAGTAAATTTTTACCACCTTATCTTCATGGTTTACTCTATACTCAATAAAAATTTTTATTTTGCCAAAAAATTTGATAAATTATGCGATGTAAATTAAGAAGAGGGACTGCAGCACGTCGAAGTATTAATCGAACAGTAGGTCAAAAGGCAGCGTAGAGAATCAAGGGCGCAAATATCTGTGCGCAATATTATCTTACAAGTAATGATACAAAATCGACAAAAATACACGCTATGACTCTGCTTTCGAATCACTGATATGTGCAAGTCTTTTCGCAAACAGGTAGGATAATCCATCTCAGAATTTAACGATGATTATTAAAGAAATGCTATCATATTCTGAATTATAACGACAAGAGCTAGAGAATTAATCGGAATATTATCTACGGCGTATATCTAAATCAACATAGAGCATATGATATGCCCATTACATTATGGTTTTTTTTGAATTTCAGTTCGTGATGAGATACAACATCCTTTTTAAATGAAGAACAGCAGGAACATGATGAGTACGGTGACACTAGAACTCAGAGGTATGTTACTATGATGTCAAGTAGGCAGACTTGGGGAGGGAATAAGTTTTCATCTTGCTGAATGTCTTGTCCAGCAGTATATACTAGATGCTTAAGGTGCAATCAGAAACAGATTAGATCTGATCTTTAGTGGTTTTATGTGTTATATCATATTAATATAGGAGGAGCGTTTAATAGTTTATAGCATATTTGCGATAAAATATATTTAATACATACATATTAATTCATTGACAATTGCACAAGACACTTATGCCGTTAGACCGTCGGCGAAATGAGGATTACAAAATTTTTCAGATTAGAATGCATCACGTGATAAATTACCATTTTTAGTAGGATAAATGAGAATTAGCACCCGTCACACGAATGTGTGCCATTTTACTCGCACTACTTTTGCTCCAACCAATGTAAATTGTCTATATTTATAAGTAATTAATGCATTCTCTAGAGTCACGTTACCATAATAGCTTGTCAGTCTGGTATGGATATTACAATTGGGGAGTTCCGTAATTCGACTAATCGAGTTAGTATTTAATCATTGCTATCTAAATCAAACTAGTCTTAATATTAATACGTTATTCTTCCCGCAAGGGATTACGTTCGGTCCTTCGAATTAGAAGAGATATTCACAGAGAATAATGACTATCGACAAACCTTCTCATTGTTATGCTTAGAATCAATTGCAGGCGACCATTATGGTACGAGTAAATTGCAGACCCTTATGAAAGATGGGAACGCTTTAGTGTCGAAACTATGCCAAGTTACAGGCGGTTTAAGTTCAATTTTTTTTACAGTAGATTATAGCGTGAGAACTGATTGATGTTGCGCAGTGATTGACCGTACAATACATTCAACAAAACCTGGATAATTGGCCAGCCTTATATCACATGATCAATACATATAAATCACTTCGGTTTTTCCCCTGTTAATGCATTTTCTTGTCTGCATATTTTTCAACGTATGTATTGTTAATAGCTTGGTGTACGAATAACAACAACAGAAACAGGGGGTCTAATAATCGTAACAAATGTGGTAAGCCTTAACATAAAGATTAACGGCATTCTCTTAATAATGATGCTATAACTCATGCTCATACATCTGTTAAATGTATGCAGTTTTGCCGGGTGTGAAACATCTACACTCATGTGGCTTGGAAAATCGCTAAACATATACAATTTGCTATAATATAAATATTGAAGTGTTAATTAACTTTGCAAATTAAAGGCTCTCTCTGCAAGTTGGAAGAATTGTATAACGAGACATAGCTGTTTGTTCTGCCGAAATAAGAGTCTTATTCTTTATTATTATGGTAAGATTTCTTTTCCTAAAAGTTATGATCGACGCATAAATTTTTGCAGATTGATTGACGAACAATAGGTCAAGTGATCATATGTATTTTATTTATGTTATATTCTACATGTAGGTGTGATGAGAACATGGGTTGTATCACATCCAAAGGTTTAGATGCTATAAAAGGGAACTCGTGTAGCGGTGAATGCCCAAATTTGCCCCTGTAAAATCACCATCCAGAAAGGGGCCGAACGGTATGCATATTAATAAGTAAACGTGTCAGACTGACTTTTGATCTCACTTGGAGACACATTTTTTGTATTCGAACTGGGAATAGGAAAAAAAAGTATGAAATAACCACAGAAAATAAGAAAGAACAAGAAAGAGTATGGACAGAGACAAAGTGTTTGATGTTATACTAGGAGGACTTGTAGTACTTCATGTGTTCATATGTCCGTTTACAAAGGTAGAGGAGAGTTTTAACTTGCAGGCAACTCACGACATATTGGAGTATGGTATATCGAAAGAAAGCTTAAATAAAGTCAGTCCTCATACAATCATTATTTGTCTTTTGTTTTTGTTATTCTATATTTCTAACTTTGGTTTGACTCTAAATAGTATGACCACTTCTCCTTCCCGGGTGTAGTCCCAAGGACGTTTATCGGCCCTCTACTCCTCGGAGGAGCTGCATATCCAATAGTGGAACTGTCGAAATGGCTTAACCCTAGACTACAGAAATTATGGATACAATACCTTGGTAGGTATGCAGAGAGAATGAAGGCGAAAGCATGGTCGTGGGTTTGACTTTTCCAGTGAGTCCCATTATTAATATGTGATTATGATAACCAGCTAGAGAAGAAAGTGTTTACAACCGTTTTTTAATAATCTAAACTGTTTCTAGTTAGAATTATACTCGGGTTGTCGACTGTATTTGCAACGTCGAAACTCAGAGGAGCGATTAAGAGATCTTTTGGTCGACCCATCTCGATAGGCTTTATGTTGCTCTCGATGTGTCAATTTCATACCATCTTTTGGATAAGCAGAACGCTACCTAACATGTTTGCCTTTCCACTAAGTAAGTCAAATAAATCAGCCTCGACTCGCCCACTCCATGTATTTTTTTCGTCCTAATTTGTCATTCACGTGATCTTAAATTCCGCAGCAATACTTGCATTGTCTCATTGGGTTTTATCGACGACATCAGCAAACCCATCCAAACACATACGATGGCTGATAACATATGCAACTATTGCCAGCGTGATCTTTCGCTTTGAAGTTGTACTGGCGCTTGGCCCGATCCTTTTGTATACCTCGAGGATACACAAGATTGGATTTACGGAAGTCGTCGTCGGAGCGAGTGTTGGACTAGCGAGTTTGGGTAAGGAGGTTGGTTGACATGGTTGTCAAAGGGAGAAAACTTTGATTTGGCTCTCACTATAAGACATCTTCCGGTCACTGTTGTCATAACACTCTAATGTCCTTATTGTATGTATAGTAACGTCATTAGTAATCGATTCATACTTTTGGCAAACATCATGGATGTGGCCGGAGGGTTCGGTATTCTACTTCAATGCCATACTCGGAAAAAGTGTTGAATGGGGCGTACGTATCTCTCTGACATATCATTTTCCTATAAGTACGACCATCAATAGACCCACACTAATTATCTTCTTTTTTTTTTATCCATAATCAGGTTTCCCCATTCCATACTTACTTTACTGTGTTCATTCCAAAACTATTGGTGGCGTCTCTTCCTTTGAGTATATTTTCTCTCATTGTGGATGAACGTACACGCTTGTATATATCACCGATCATGGTATTTGTAGCGGGATTCTCGTTACTTGGACATAAGGAGTGGCGTTTTGTTGTATATGTGGTACCAGTATTCAATCTATGTGCTGCGGTTGGGTGGGTTCGGATGTAAGTATTCGAACTGTGTGCATGAAATAGACTCTGAAAGGTGTACAAGGTGAATCAGAAATTTAATATTTTAATACTTTGCACATCTTATACTATCAGCGAACAGAAAGCATCAAAACTATTGTATAGAATCGTCAGATACATCATAATTGTTGCATTGATCCTGAGCTTCATATCGAGTACGGGAATCCTCATAATTTCAAGTTACAACTATCCTGGTGGTGCGGCACTCTTTAAATTACACAATATCGAGAAAAACTATACTCAAGGTAAGTCATTCTTCCGTATAATGAATACAATTCTATTTCCACTCTCTCTAGCATTATATTTCACTTGTTAAACTTATGTTAGAAACTGATCTGTATCTCCCACGATCAGCTCGAGTGCATCTAGACGTATATACTGCAATGACAGGAGCATCACGATTTGGAGAATCAAGAAAGGACTGGATTTATTCAAAGGAGGAATCCCACTTTACTGCGGAAGATTATTCCAACTATACTCACATACTCACGCATACTCCGTTATTCCACGAAGATCGTTTTGTAGTTGTAGATGTTGTTTACGGATACGAGAAAGTGAAAAGAAAGAGTGTGAAGGAAGTGATTGAAACATTGGGGGATATTACTACGAGAAAAGCAGATGGGGAAAGAATCAAGATGGATTATGATGGTCTTAAAGTGTTTGCCACGGGATTAATCGATACTATCTTTAGACTATTTCCAATCGAGATCGTAATCGAGCCAAAAGTATGGATTATGAAGTCAAAGACCGCCTAAAATCTTTTTATGATAGTTATCTCGTTCAAGTTACATTAGACTCTCATCCGGACAATTCGCTCCGGGCGTTTGCAATTCGATCACGTGTAATGACTCATTGCCAATCGCAAATTCCTCTTGACATACATAGTGTACTACAATATTAGAAATTAACTATCATTATCCGTATTTCTCCGTAAAACGTCACCATGTGCTGCACTAATTGGTAAATCGTCCAACGCACAATACAGCAAACCAGACCCCCCCCAAACCCGATATCCAAACAAGGCCTGAGCAGAGCAGTAAGAAGTAAAAAAAAAAAAAAAGACGAAAACATTGCAGAGCTCTTGTAGTTTACATATATACTTTATAACACGTTCTAGCGAGCAAATAAAGCAAGCGAGGTCTTGCAAAAACACTTTTAGATAGTCAAAATATTCTCACTCAACTCCTTTACATCGACTTCCCTGACTGCGCCACTTCGAGATGACTAATATGTCGAACCGCAAGTCCTTTAGAAACAGAAAGATTGACAATAAGAAACCCATACGTATATACTTAGAAGATGAAATAACTGACCTCGACGAACTCACTGGGGTCGCTCGTAGCGTACCAGTTATTGAAACAGGAGTAGACAAAGATGAAGAGGAGGTGAGAAAATTTTATTATTGTATTCCTATAGTATTATTACGCCTAGAAGTTTCTTAAATTCAACAATTACAGAATATGTAGAGTAGCAACCAATAAAACCCATGTGGTAGACTATTGCTTTCTTTATTTTTTCGACTTCAACTATCACCGTATAATAGCTTTTCTTCGGAGAAAAGGCTTTCTTATTACTGCGGCGCAGCATAGCGTTCCGATATTTTCCTTTGGATGATCTTTTAAGAGTTTGGTTAGATCTAGACATGTATGCACCATCGATGTAGGAAATGATAACAAATCTATACTGGAATAAACTAAATAAAGATACTCTCAATTGATCATATTAATGGTTTCATTCAAAACCACTTTAAGAACTTTTATTAGTATTTTATTCACCTAACTTTTCCTCGTTCCTTTAGGAACTCCACCTTCAAGAAGCATTAACAGCCGCATCAGCAGTATTAGCAACTGGCGATCTATCCAAAGCAGCAGTAATACCGACTCCACACGCACGACGTGAAGTTCCAAACTATGACGAATTATATGGCAGCAAGACATGGACAGATCCGTGCAGCTTAATAAGATTCTCTACACCAATCGAAGAATGCGTTGGGTGCCCATATACGCTTGATGAGGAAGACGATCGATGGCTGACGGAATATAACAAAAATGCACAGCCAACCGCACGGATAAGTGAAGACTGCTTTGAAAAAATAATGCATCAGTTTGGACAGAATTCTAAGCGGAACATAACGGTACGTTGTATTCATTTGAATTTAGAATGACAGAAGCGTGTTTCTAAAAACTATTCAACATACTAAATTGGATATTGGAATTGTTTTTGTTTTGACAAATATAGGACCTAAAAGAACTTCCAACATGGGAACAGATGGAGAAATCGTGGAGCGAAAAATTAATGATTCCAAAATCGTTAGCACATATTGTGTATCCTCACTGGAAAGAACGACGTATAAAGCGTGGAGGTCGTCCGATTATACCAAGATTAAAAGTATATATCGTTTGCCATTTACCTCATTTGCTCAAGTGTTTTTGCCTTTTCCGTCTAGCTAATCAATGGACACATTTCTAACCTGTACATTCCAGCTTGAGGAAACATCTAGAAATGAGAATGATCCGTATGTCTGTTTCCGTCGACGAGAACTCAAACCACTCCGCAAGACACGGCGCACCGATGCTCAGTCATTGGAGAAACTACGTGGTTTGCGGCGTGACATTGCCCTTGGTAGTCGGTTGGTGAATATGATCAAAGACAGAGAAGGCACACGAAAGGAGATTTTATCTTTATCAAATACCCAGTTCGAAAAGAGGTATTTGATGAAGAAAATGCAACAGCGACTGGGTATTCAGGAATTCGATCAGGATCTGAAAGAGGTCAGTAACTGAGTGAGATGAATTGAAATTTGCTATCTGCTGTAAGTAATCGTATCGTACAAATGTTGATACCGATGTTGATGGTTATTTTCAGAAAAAGACACGGAAAATGTCTTATACAGACGATAGGGATAACGGGTATGTACATTCAGCGAATGATTGAATGTGTGGTTGTTGTTTTTTTACGAAGAAAAAGATTTAACATTTCTTGTTATTGCAAAACAGTCAAATACGAATAGCGACACGAAGAGGTTCAACTCCCGCAGATGTTGGATACGTAGACCTTACTGATGTGAGTTATGTGAAAATTTTATATTGTAAAATTATTTTTTTTCACTATATTCTAACTCTCCACAAATTCTTTATAGTATCCTTACCAAAAACCACGCAAATCTCTTTCCGTTTCATACTATCGACCCAACATACGTGGCCGTACAGACTCTCAATCACACAGTCAGCCGTTTAGAGCGTCATATGTCCGCTGTCGTATCGGAAGAGGCGGTCGTCGGTATCTGGATCGTCGAAGTCTTAGATCACCAACTGTAACCGATTCTACCAATAAGGACATATATACATACGATGACTTTATGTATGATAGAGATGAATTCAGTGACTATGCAGATGATTTGAACGATGCACAGCAAGATGATCTTGAGAAAAGGTATTTACAATTGTTTATGAGATACTTTCTCTTAAGTTTAGTTTCTACCACCAACGCATTTCTCCCTAATCTCTTTAATTTGCCTGTGGTATCAACTGTGTTGCTAATTTCCTTTTTGTTGAACTCGATAGACTCGCTCGATGGTCGATACTGTCAGAAGAAGACTTGGCAAACCTCAGTGCCAAGGTTAGGCCGCCTCAATTACAATTACCAGCCCAGTCAATGGCACAATCGAGCGACAGTCATAACTACTCAATGATCCCATCCAACGCAAACCTGTCGACAAGCCAGTTAGCACACCTCCGTCTTCTCCGACAACCTCAACCACTACTCACCCGAATAAATAACCAGGCTGCTATGGCAAGGCGTCAACAAGCATCACCACAGAGAACACAGCAACCACAACAACCACAACAACCACAACAACCACAACAACCGCAACAACCGCAGCAACTACAACAACCACAACAACCACAACAACCACAGCAGCAGCAACAACCACAGCAACAACCACAACCACAGCAGCAGCAACAACCACAGCAACAACCACAACCACAACAACCGCCACAGCAGCAGCCGCAGCAGTCACAGCCACAACAGTCGCAGCAACCACAACCGCCGCAGCAGCAACCACAGCAAGTGCGCACCATGCGTGCTACTGTAGCTGACGGTCAGACAATACATAGCTTAGTATCGTCTCCAACAACGAACGTGGTACGCAGTCCGATGCAAACAGCAACACAAGTAGTGGGAACTAATGTTCACCGGGATGTTCATCGGGGAATACATTTGCCCAATATGCTTCATCGTCAGGTGCAGCTATCGAACAGTACTGCTCAACGCCAGAATCCCAATTCTAACACTACTTCTACCGCATCCAATGGCATTACATCGGGTGCGATCCTAGCCAGTCTGGATCGCGTGAAATTGGTGAATCCGAAACTAGCCCAACGGTTAGTATCGATGAGTGGTGTTCCTGGGTTGTCACCGTCAACTCATCTCCATCCAACGCATATCACACAACCACAACATATACAAATACATCCACAAATGCTAGCCGGACATCATAACTCGCCCGCAAGTTCGCCGCTGAGGCAGAATGTGACTATAACGGGAAGCCCATTGATGGGGAATAATAACCTTGTAGCGAATGGGTCGCCTGTGAGCATAGCGTCACCATTAGGGTCGCAATATCACCCATCATTGACACAGTCTGTACCTCAAGCTTCTACACATCACCAGAGACCATCGAGCTGAGGCTCAGAGTGGGAGGTGGAGTTGAACGGAGTTGAGTTGAGTCGTAGTTTTGTTTGTGTTCACTAGTAGTTGAATACTCGATTTGATAGTTGATATTTGCTCGCTATGTACGTCTTTTATTGAATTTGTGCTTTTTACTATTTTTGCATTACTCTTTCGTGTAGTTATAATATGTAAATAATTATGAAATGTCGTTAACGCTGTTTATAGTTCTTCTTAAAGAGGAAAAAACTAATATTAAAGATTTTTTCACGTCCCTGGATATTAACTTTTTTTCTTGCTCCATGATGACATTTATATTAGAATGGCGTATGATTCGTGTCTCTTCCAAGTTTTTATCATAACTCCATCCTGTAAATAATATTCTCATTTATAAGAAAATGATGATGAGATAAATGATTCGTAACATATTTTTATATTCCCCTCCTCTTTTTGCTTTCTTTTTTTTGTATATCTACATTTTCGTATTCGTAAAAAAATTTTGATTCTGTAATAGCCAAGTTTAAGAAAAAGAGCAATCGCCTACTGATTACTTGAATAATCGAATTGTATATATCGAATTTTCCAAACACAAATTAATACTTATTTCATTTATTCGGAAGACTAGCCTAATCATTTATTATTAATACACCATCTCCTCCCATGTTAGTATATACTTGTATATGACAAATCCGTAAATTATGTCAACTGCAAGTCGATACGATTGTAATTACTCGAATGATAACACAAATCACGAGTAAAGCGATAACGAAAATTAGATGTCTGATACTAATACCGAGTAGGAATAGGTTTTCAGTCAGTCCGATATAATTTACCTACATCATAATGTTACTTTACACGTTACAAATGTCTACCGTTTTGCTCGTGACTTTTATAAGATTTCTCAATCAAATCTCTCTCATCCAAATCAACAGACCTCGATTCATTACTCTCCAACTAAACGTAAAAAGCCTTTTTTCTTCATGACTTGCTTCCTCTTCTTAATATGCTCCTCTACCACCTCCAACATATTCCGATCATCCCACTCCAACTTGATAGATTCTTTAGATTCACGCTCAGTCTTTAAATCTCCTCCCGGCTGCTTAGCAGAATCAATAATGTTGTCAGCCTCGTTTTTGCAATAGTTGTGCTCTGTACACACGCCTCTATGTTGTGTTGTGATTTTAGTAATGGGAGTTGTATTGCTGGGGGGAGCTGTGGATGTCAAGTCAGATGACGAGTTGACCGATTGAGTGGTGGGTGATGACTGAGAAGTTGATTTTTCCTCAATAACCTCAATAACCGGTGCCGCTTGTTGATAATTTTGCAAGTTAGGGATTATCTTCTTCAGTGCATGATCGCGCAATGAATGCCATGTGTGTCTTGGGAACTATTTGATCAGAATAAGTGAATTCATCATGTTGATAAATTGAAAACATGACAAGCGCAGTAGTTATCGGATAGAAAGAATTATATTACCTCTGGCTCTATTTTTTTATATATCCCATTTCCTTTCAAATGACTGTTTAATTTTTGTTGTTCTAATATAAACTGAACCAATCTGTCGTCCTCTTCTTTAGTGTAGTGAGCACGACTGTAACAAGAGGTTACAAATTGTTAGTCACAATTACTAAGATTCAAGAACTGATCTTAAGAGCCATATATGCGAATAACGTAAGTACCCGACTTTTTTTGTCCTAGCGTTCATGATAATTTAGGGTGTCTGTTGTAACAAAGAGCGGAACTTGCAGAAGTAAGCTTTGGTGTGCAATGTAGTTTTGAATATCAAACCACGCGACAAAATATCGGTGTTTATGTAAACAAACTTCTGGCCAATAATAATGCATTCGAGGTTCGTATAGTTTCCTGTCACGAGACTATCTAGTACTAGTCTTATTATACTTATGTCACGTGACTATTAATTGTTACCTAAATCTAATAGACTAGAGGCACTATATTTCTGCTATTATGCAGGTTTGTTATGCGTTTACAGTGTCAGAATTTTGATTAAATCTGAGCATTCTTTCTTTGACTATTTCATTTCAACCAATATGCCATGGTAAGATTCTATTTTTATTTAAATACGCGCGTATCGCCATTATCTTTTAGAAAACTTGAGGTTACGATTAATACATTCCTGCGCTGGATTCAAAACACGCATGTACTCGAGTGAAGCGTAAATGCTTTTCTTCTTCTTCTTTTTTTTAGCAAAGAGTTTCAATGCTTAGTGCAGTATTTACAATTATTTTTAATGATCGTAGTGGAGAGATAAACGACTGACTTTGCACGCGCGCTCTGTTTTGTAGTCTATGTTTGCAATCAACTGGGTAAGGTAATTTCTTTGCATTGTTTTAACCAACGTTGCAAATTATGATATACGTTACGTGTATTATCTTACAATTGCGATAGTGTTGCTAGCGTGTTTGCTTAAGTGAATAGTAAATTTCCTTAAATATATTTGAATTAAGATGGTTTGCCCAAAAGGGTAGAATAATTCTTATAATATGTTTCTGTTTATATTTTAGTTAGCATTAATTACGTTTGTTAATATTGTCAAGCATTAAATACGTTGTGTAAGGAAATTTTTACATCTAAAAACTAACTGCTTATACTTGACAATTAATATATATATTTTTTCTCCGCTCCGCAAGGTGAGATTTCAATCTCATGTTCCAGTATTTATGTTGTCACAAATATGATGGAGCGAATACCATTCCTTCTTGCTTAAGCCATCAAAGTATGGAGACTTGTGTTATGAAAACTTTGCATGGGTTTAAACCACATAGTTCACTTACATTACGTACAGTTTTACGTTTAATATTACTAAAAAACGTAGATAAAAGTAGCGTATTATTCAGTACAGCGTGACTGTATCAGTTTTAGAACTTAAATAATGTACACTATTACTATACCGGCAAAGACAGGGTGCACGATTTTTTGGTATCTTTTTCACTCAACCCATATTGGCATACAATTGTATTTGATTTATTTAATTGAAAGAGGAGTTAAGTATAAAACTGTAATAAACCGCAAATTACAAGTTTATTCAAAGAGTGTTTGAGTCACTAAATCATTGATATAATAATTTTGAAGATAGCGAATAACAGTTTTAGATTAGCTTTATTAATATCTACACCTCGTCAGCAAAGTGCTAGATAGTGGTTATTGTCACCCCCGGCGAAGCGCTAAAATAGCAATGTTTAGTTTTGTGCAAAACTCATGAATTCATTTTATCTTGTTTTTCATGGACTTAACAGTTGGTGGGTTAGTTAATACAATTTTTTATGCTACGCAAGAACATGTTATAGGCAATAACTATGCAACATTGTGCTAATAAAGTTGATATTAATGCGTGTCATCCATACACAGCATGTTCCACCCTCCAGTTTACGGTTTATTTTGCGTTGCGCCTTGGAACATTTCCTGTTTCACTATTCGCAAGAAAGATTAGACGCACGAACGACTAGCAAATTTGCCATTATACTATATAGTTACATCAAAGTCATGAGACCATGTGTAAATTCAATAGTAGTAATATACTGTATATACATTAAACCAAACAATCACCACGTATTTTTAAAAGTCAATAGTGATAAATAATCGAAGAACTTAGAAGTATGATCTCTGTTTTCCCTTGGAATCAGTCAAAGACATCATCGATTACTTTAGTTCAATATACTGAGAATCTTGTCAAATCTGGCACACAATTGATCACAACCACAAATGGCATGGCTGCGTCTCAGGCTTATCAAACACATGAGGCTATGCTTTGTACATTATACGCAATTATTCATATATGGTATTACCTGCCTAATAAAGCACATAAACGTTCACGTTGATAAATAATTAATCCATACAACGCTCCTACCCCAACTTATTGCTGGTATTCATCTGTGGCTATGTCATGTGCGGCTATGTCAAAGAAGGGGTGGCTCAGCTGTATTAGATGTAGAATAACACGTTTATTCCACCCATTAAACATCAAACATCACCAGTTCCTTATTCGAATATAATACTGATCGCGCTTGAATACTGCTTTCTTGCTTTATAATTGCTATATTTATTTCTTTTACTTATGTACAGTATTACTTATTATCGCTACCATACTTTTGGCAAGTGTCGCATTGGTGTGAATCGATCGCTCTGATACTGCATTGGCAGTAAGATCTATAGCTGTGGAAGACCAATTCTACCACGATTAGTAAATATGAGTAGCAGCGAAATAGTGTCGGCGATTCGTTACGATCACTCGTTAATTCCTACTCTCCGGTGCCAACCATGTTCACATCCTTCTCCTCCTCCGGATTTTCATTCCCATTCGTTGGATCAACTACACTTAATAAGTACTCTACAGTTTGCTCATGACCATTCTGTTGTGCTTCCGATATAGCAGTTCGACCGGCAGTGTTTTTTATCTATTTCAGATGACAAGAGTTAGATTCCATTTCCATGTGTGTATAAAGGATTGATTGCAGAGCTACCTTGGCGTTCACGCCGTGTGTTATTAAAACTTCCACTATCGTTTGGTGTCCGTTCAACGCACTCCAATGTAAGGCTGTATTTCCCGAGTCATTTTGAGCGTTGATAATATCAGAAGCAGAACTGCCCAGTTTCTGTATTATATATTCGACAATCTCTTATAGAATTACATAGCAGACCGGGTATGAGCAAATTGAAGTTCGATAAATCAACGATTACGAATTCAACTTTTGAAACGTACCAAGATGTCCATTGGCACTTGCCATATGCAAAGCAGTATTCCCATACTCGTCTTTTTCGACAAGATAGGCGGCTGAATATTGATCGATATAGGATTTTAGTTCATCGAGTTCGCCAAAACGTGCACAGGCTATAACTTCGGAAACTATCTCCTTGTCCAAGGCCATCATCTGTTCATTGCTGGTGTGATGACAAATTTTTTTGCGATTTACAAATGATCGACAATCCGATTTATTTCATGACTGGATCATAAAAGTAAGTTTCTTGTTCACCCTTTTTCAATTTGTCAAATCACATAAGACATTTCGTTTGGCATTTCGTTCTAAGCAGTTAATTAACTAGTACGACAAGAGCTATTAATGACAAACAGTGGACCTTCTGAGTTACGTTATGCAACCCAGAAGCTTTGGCTGTGGCTGCATCGGCACATTCTCACAGAACAAGTCATAGTAACATGGGTAGATTTCGTGAAGGCATGTCATTTGCACATTTTGTTGGCTTTATATTTCCTTTCCCTCTCTTTAGCTCCGGCTTCTTACGCCGATGTTGTGTTATTCCTGGCCGTGCCGTAATCCACAGCCTAATTATCTCCGCCAAATAAAAGATGTAACCATGCGCCCACCACGGATCCGTAAAGATCATTGGACCCCCTTAGCAGTGGTAACTGGTTTCAAGAATAAGTCAACCCCAATGTCTGTTAGCAATTTAATCCAAGATTATATTGCAAAACACCCCAGACCTCCATTCCCTACTACCACGTCCAAGAGAGTACGTAAAATCGAGGAACAAAAACAGATCGAACCGACTTTGACGGCGTTGGGTTGGGCGATGAATGAAGCAATGCATAGACATTACGAGAGTCGCGAAAATATCATCAAGATCTTTTGGGAACGTGAATCATTGAAAGATATTCCAAAGCTAAAAGCTGATATTGATTGGCCAAACAACATAGAGCATTCACAATTGATATTGGAAAGAGGACGATTCGTGAAGAATTTTGAACTGCAAAGGGAAGTACCAAGTGAATTGCAAATAGAGAAGGAAAATAAGAGGTTGGAAGCAAAAGCCAAGAAGAGGCGAATATTATACTATGTTGAGAAAGCGAGACAAGAGCGGATTGCACGTGGTGAAGATGCGCCAAGGTTATTGCGCAGTCGTGGGGGTGTATATGTTCCCTATAAACCGTACGTCGGTCGTAGATAATATATTGACTATTATTGAACTAGACAAAATTTTGTTTCTACTCTACCATATTCAATATGGTAATTGCTTATTTTAATGCCAAAGGAGTGAATTCCTTTAACGCGCATGAACGATTTAAATAATGTATAAACTGTTTTATCGGATGTTATATGATCACTGGGTGTCTCGTTTGGTAGACGTGATGTCGATCCTGTGACTTTGAAGGGGGGATAGCCACAAATAATTGGCTTCACATATTGTGCACAGCCACAGACAAGCCGCTCAATAAGATGGTTCTCGGGTATGATTATAAAATCATCAGCCTCCCCATGTCTGAATCAATTTCTTCATCTTAACAATTCATATCACCAAAAAATAAAATGTCAAAATTTCGTTTATTCATTTTAATATCGACATTATCAGTGCTATTCTCCGTCTCTGCCCAACAACAGTCCTGTGCCTCGCAACTGGATTGTCCATTACGCGCACAAGGACAAGTATGCCAAGGGGGCGTCTGCATATTACCCTGCGGGACAAGTTGCCCACCCGGATTCACCTGCGACGGTGGAATATGCGTTCCATCCACAACTACAACCTCATCCACATCCACATCCACATCCACATCCACACCCACGTCTACTAATTCAACATCGACGACCGCGAGTGCAAGCTTTGTTGATACTACTCCGTCGATAGAGAACGTAGGGGTACCAGGGGTACCAATAACAAAGGATACTACATACGGAAAGCTAGTGTTGGCGTTTGGAATACTACTCTCAATCGCCGTTGTCTTTGCATTCGGATTCTGGTATCATCGTCGCCGGCAGAGAAGACATCGTTTCCTTCGTCTGAAAACGAACCTTGGAACAACCCCAAGAAATTCTGTGGTATCGACAAGTAGCGCGTTCACAGTACCAACGTCGTCTCGTGCATTGGAGGAGAACAATGATTTCTTAGATACAGATATAATGTCGCAGGTTGATAGGACTTCATTTGTGGGTACGGAGAGTCACCCCCCGACTAGTGCTGGTGCTCCTGCTGTTACGACCGATAGTGGGTCTGCAACACGGCAAGTTTCTGAACAGAGAGCCAGTGGAATTGACGAGTTACGTGATGAGACACAATTATCGTAATCAATTGTACAAAAGTTATTTTCGTATATATATATATAACATGTAGTCGTTGAAAAAAGAAATAAATGTTCGATTGTTGAATAACCAATTTGGGATCTCTTGTGACACCAAAAATGTCAACTTATTTGTAACTAGCTCTAAAGCATACCGAGAGAACGTTACGTTTTAAAAAATAGCACCAGACAAGATTCCAGATATAACTAAATTCACACCAGAACGGAGGGCAGTGGTTGTATTTGACGCTGAATCAAAGAAAATTCAAGATCGGATTATTCCTTACTTTATTAGTGGCCGGCATCAAAATAAATATTTCGCCCATATATGTAAGCCAGAAATATCAAGTTGTGCCGAAAATAATTCGTGAAAATTTAAGCCATCTTGTGTTATTCCGAGGCTCGGGATCTAGAGACTATATTAGCAGAATTGTACGTCAATATACAGATCATTGATAAGCATTTGCGAGAGCGAGAATTTGTGGTCTTTGATTTTACCAAGCCAGTACATGACCCTTTAGCAATTAGATTGGGATGGGATACCCATCTTTGATTTAGAAATCGAAAAAAATTAGAAACAGGATTTAATTTCATAAACGTAAGTATCATTTATATCTGACAGCGAGTCGTTCTTATAAGCTGATTTTTCTAATATTTTATTTATATATACAATGTCTTGCCCACCGCTCATGTAAGTGACCTTGTTATACAGAGACGCGTGTATCCAGCCACGATGTAGTTGAGGTAAATATATTTCACATCTTATCTGCCACTCGTATTTGAGCTGTCGGTATCCAGACCGAATGAAGTTAGAGTGAATGTGAAAAAACAAGCTTGTTTTGCGCTATCTGCAATAGGGGTTTTTGTGACCCATAAAATCAGTGAATGTATAAAAAATATAAATCAGATGACATTATAGCGCCTTGCGTCCTGAAGGGTAAGATATAGATAAGCTATATGACTAAATTATATAATTTATCGAGACAAAGCCGAGCGCGAAGCGTTAGACTTGTCAGTACATTAATTTGTATTATGCTTGTAATTCTAAAAGCCGCTTTTGAAATCTACCCCGTAATTGCTGTTTTTGGAATGTATCCAATCATATGGTGTGAAGGTAATATATTCTTCATATTCTCTATTAATAATTCCAAGTTTCATACCAGGTTGATTTTTATAAATTGTTAGTCATTTATGACGCCATAGATCAAATTGTTCTCGAGTCTGAGGATTTTTCAGTTTTTGAGGAGTTAAACCTAAAATTTCTTATCGCTGGGAGTGTTATCATTTGCTAAGCTGTCCCAAACAAGTCTTGCATTTGATGGCTTTTTTTCTCTGAATCGTCTCCAAGCAGTTTGTATAATCCTTGTAGAGCCTTCTTTAGTTATAGCTTTGGAACATTATGTATTCCATTGACGTTGCATCAAATCTTTAGGCTCAAGACGTTCAACATATCTTTATCTAGCATAATGTAATATTTTCTTTGGTTGTACATCGTCAATTTTTACAAGCTTCCAACAGCTAAAGCAAATTGCCATACAACTTTTATGGATTCTTGGTCTGTAATAATTGTACTTGAAATAAATAAACAATACACACTAGATATTCCAGAATTTAACAAATCTTGTACTGGTATTCTTACTCGTAAACTCCATTGAAATGGCGTTTCATTCTGTTTTATAATTGATAACTCATCAAATAATCTTTCATTTTCAGATCTATATTAGCATAACTTCCCCAATATGAAACAGCGTATTTCATATCATATCCTGGAGATTATTATATAGTTTATAGAGTGTTCTATCTTTTTTATCAATATAAGTAACGATATTATAAGTTACCATATTTACTGATTAAGGGACCCACCGAAAGCAGTAATTTACTAGACCTACTAGATTTGATCAACTATATATACTAAGAATATCGCGATTCAATTTTAAGTATAAGTAGAAAATCACATGATACAAAAAGGGTTAATGGCTCACTCTATGGTATCACAAAAAATTTACCAAAGATTCTATTGATACTACTAGAATCATATCGAAGCTTAAAAGGATATTAATATATCTTCAAAGCGGCATATTACTATAAACATCGCAGGTACGTCATATTTTTTCTTCTCGAATTACAAATCAATAGTTTTTAACCGCCAAGCGATCGGCAAAAAAACATTTATTCGTTATTTTAGTTCACTGCATGACGACTAAGGAATCTCGGCGAGAAAAATCATCTAAAGAAATCATGACAGATACATTTTATTTTTTGTATTTGTATAGTAAAATGGGGCCGGCTAAAGTAAATTGACAGAGTAGTGGACGTTTAAAGGGAGGAATATGCCGGCCCCTAGACCATAACATGGCAGTTCCTTTCCGCTACTGTTCTTGTTTTCTTAAATTAATATTTCCGCCCTCTTCATCACCCCATTTCCTTATTTTTTCTGTGTAGACGTTTGTGGGTTTGTTTGATGGCGATAAAAACCAGCCAACGTGGCAGAGCTTAACTTAATATTCTTACCCAATACTTTATAAGTTTGAGTAAGAGATTGATTATCCTTCTTTACTCTTTGATTAATGAGTGTCTTGAAGTTGTCCCAGAGCGTCTCAACGTCATCAGAATATTCGGCATGTTGTCTTGTGTTTATAAATCTTGCGTTCTCACGAAGCAAAGGTGCTTTTGCATCTGGATTTTTTTTTTTTGAATTTGCTAATTAATAAAAACAAGTACTGAATTAATAAGCACATGACTAATAGTTGGTAAAATAACGTGTCACAAACACATAGATGTCGCAAAGATATTAGTCATATGACATACCTTGAGATATTTCGCGATAAGAGTCAATACGTTCTTTTCAAGTTCAGAAATTTTTTGCGACTCAACTTGGAGCGTTGATTGAAATTTGTGTAAATAAACGATTACTCCCGCCAAGATAAAAGACTGAATTGTATTGCTAATAAAAACGGTTTTAATTGTTTCTAATTTCAAGTTGTCTTGGCAGAGAACACCAAGGCAATGAAAAGTGCGGGTAAAACAATGTAAGGTAAATTGAGGGCACGTAAGTGTCTTTGCTCCGTGGTACCACACGCAAATAGATTGCGCATTTTTTTGGTAGTAATTTCTTTAATTTTTTGAATGTTAAGTGCACTGCTCTGCTTATGAAAGTCGAGTACGTGAGAAGGATATATCTCTGATCTATTGTCCTTTTTATATTTTCATCTTAATTGTGTCAAGATCTTGGATATGAATCGAAATCTATCCACTTCTTGCTGCGGCGCCGCAACTGCAGTCACAGGTTCAAAGGGGTGACCTAAAGGGTCATATCTTTGCCAGCTCCGCTAAGAAACTTCATTAAGGTTTATAGCGCTATTTTTACTGTAGCACCACTCAGAACGTGCCATTTATTCTGAAGGCTTTTGATTTTTGCGTATGCGTAAATATGGTGGGGGACACAAGTACGCATCAAATTGTCAAGGGGAAATCATTACTAAAAATGTCAATGATTAACTATATTAATTTTATTCAAAAATCGTTTCAGGAAACCGTTCTATGACTCTTATATTTTTTAATGGCAAATTCTGCCTGTCGTCCTTCCAATTCCTTCCTATTAGGGATTGGAATCAGGGGGAGGGGGGAGTATATCTGATTATGGCTATATTAATGAGAGACTGTATTTTGCTGGGGCATACCTGGGTCAATCTGCAGGTCTATTCTATGGAGTGGGAGTAGACATCCAAAGAACTGTGAAGTGATGTCTCTGAAGGAGGGGACAGGGTTCTTCCAAAGGCCCTTGTGTATTGTGGTAAAGGCATTCCAGAGTGTGGACACAGTTGCAGATTGGATGGAATGTAGGAGCTGATGATGGGAATGGGGTGCTAAAAAATGATCTGCAGATCACGTATCAATCACATGACATTTACCCAATAAAACTCTCTGAAATCATAATGCCGAATTCAGCATTATCCAGCCTGGTTGCACAATCTGACACGTCATAGAATCCATGGATCTGAGTGTCCAATGAAGGGATAATATTTGAGCCTGCATGTTATGAGGTAAATTCCCGATTATGAACTCAGCTTTATTTTGAAAATTATAACACTTTGTCCACGACACTTCAAATTTCGGGTCAAAATTGTCCCTGTGTAAGAGCAGAAATTAATGTTGCAGATTGAACACCACATACTTACCTATATAATGTATTTAAGAAATTGATCGAACAAATTTGTTTGTAATTCCTCCCACGCATTTTTGGGGATTCTTCTGTGCAATTTATATTTTCTAGCAATATATTCCGCTAACTTACCTGTAACTCCGTGTCTATACAGAGGCATAGTAAAACAATAAAGAATGTTACCAATAATAACACGAGAACAATAAATGCTAAACTTATCGCTTTATTGGATAACGGAATGTTACACAAAAAGTTGCCTAAAACTCGAAACTTTTTTAGTTGATCAAAAATTTTAAACTGTAACTTTTATTCTGCTTCGTCTGCTCTATCATTCTTACGGATTAGTTTTTCTCTAAACCCTCTAATATAAAGCCTTAGGGTTTTGAAAGTAGAGATGGGAACCGGTTAACCGTTTAGTTCTAAACTCGGTTTTAAATTGGTTCAATTTTAAATTCGGTAAATCGAATGTCTCCACAAATCCGATTGTTGAAAATTCTTTATAATTGGTTGCAAATTAAAGCCCGAATTTATGCGAACCGAATGTTTGATTTAAACCGGGCCTAAAAATAAACTCGGTTTATTCGAGTTGAACCGGTTTTCGTCCCAACCGAATGTCTGATTTAAACCGGGCCTAAAAATAAATCGAGTTGAACCGGTTTTCGGTTTTAATCCCAACCGAGTATCTGATTCAAACCGGGCCTAAAATAAATTCGGTTTATTTGACTTGAGCCGGTTGTCGGTTATCCAAACCATATATTAATGTTAATATCTATTTAAACAGGCCTAAATAAATCGATTTATTCAGTTATACCAATACACGACGTTTTTTATATTTATTAACATGGGACAAATTATGCTTTAATGATTATAATATAGCGATAGCAATCCGATTATACTCCGAATTTCTCTTTAAAAACAAAAATTTGTTTACTAAATTCGGTTTAATATTAAATAGATATTTGGTTGGGATAAAACCGACAACCGGCTCAAGTCAAATAAACCGAATCAGATACTCGGTTGGGATTAAAACCGAAAACCGGTTCAACTCGAATACCACGTAAACCGAGTTTATTTTTAGCGCGGTTTAAATCAGATCCGGATTAACCCCGTTACATCCGGCGTACTTATAACCGGGTCTTGGACGAAAAAAAAAATTTTTTTCAGCTCTGCGTTTAAATATGGACGACAATACACCCATTGCCAATTTCTTGAACAACTTTGTCGGCGAGGGGAAAACGAGACAGGATCAGGCGACGGCGGTTACCGAGATATTCATTGATCAGTGGATTACTACTCTTGGTGACTGTAAGAAATTCACTGCCGAGGACTTGAAAGAATGGAAAGTACCTGCAATGGTCGTGAAGGGACTAGATGAACAAGGGTTTTTAAAGCCATCCACAGGTATTATGGAGCGACTAAACGCTTTTCTTGCTTTGTTTGCGTTCATTGGGGGTCTGATGTCAGTAGTTTTACATAGGGCAAATCCCTTTATTGCGAGAGTGTTATTGTAGCTGGAGTAGATAGGCAAAATTATTCGAGGCATAGGGATACCCATCTCTTTTGCACTTTGTGACTCGGGCATTGGGGACATAGAGTAGTGTGTACATAGGATAGAGTAGACATAGTAATATGTTTTCTCATAAATTTATTGTCACTTTGCTTCTAAACAAACTTGGAATTAGCTAAAATTTTCACTGACATTTTCATTTCATTTTTGCAGACCAAGAATTACTCGTTCATGACTATGAGGATGTTGCCAGTTAAATATTACTCATTATCATGCAGCATTGCTTTTCCAAGTGCCTTTAACAATATTGACTTTCCACAATGCTATACAGCTTTCTTTCCAGAGTTTCATAACTTCCCTACTATTAATGAACTGCAGGGCTGCCTTGAAAGGCCACCAACCAAACTGATCCCAGTTAGGGAACAAGTGTTAGACAGTGATCTGGCACACATTAGATCACATGTCACACTGAGTCGAAAAAGCAATTCACCAGAATTGAGTCGCCTTTTTGAAAATGCAATCAAAGCACAATCACCATCAGGTTCAAAAGCTGCCAGACACTTCATATGGGACACATTAGTCAGGTCCCCATTGAGACTGCTTCTCCATCCTTCAATGTCACTTTTTGTTTTGATCGTGACACATATGACAAATCCACAGCAACAGTACCTTTAAAGAGGCCAGACTTGTTATGTTGGATGCATTCAGTATTGGTATTGAAAGGAGAAGAGAAAGAGACAGTGGAAGATCTTTCAACAGCAGAGCAAGAGCTACTACAGACATGGAGCCCTATCTATTTTGGAAATCTTCAATATATGTTTGGTTATGCTGCTGCAGGGACATTAATAAGGTTTGTCTTTGCTATTTATCAAAATCACTGTGAAAAGCTACCATCATTACATAATGACAAAACATAAATCTGCATGTCAGGTTCTATGCAATTGACAGTTCCATGAACATTACCAATATCAGCAGAGAATTTGACCTGTCACATGTGACTGATCGAGTCTTGACAGTAGCAACAGCTTTGAATATGGCTCAATGTATACAGCATTTTGTACACCAACTCCCAACTACCTATACCATGACATTACCTCTCTATGCTACTATTAAGCGAACATATTCTGAGGTTAGTGTTCTGCTGGCTGATGAATCTATATGTATATGGGCATGTAAGATGCTAATATTTTATTGAACAGATTATGTTTCTTGAGAACCGAGTCAGGAAGAAAATCAAGAGCTTTGGTGTGCAATATAGGTTTTCAACATTTGAAGTAGGTATACTAATACTGGGCTTACTTCAGATTGCTGACAGTGTGAATACAATTAACATGCTGACTATGAACATATTAATATAGGACTTGAAAACCATTTACAGGAAGACTGAAAGTACACAGCACATTATCCATAAATTTGGCATGTCACGTCTGGAAGGAACAACATATACAGTTGAGCTGCACCCTGTGGGATTTCGACGGCACCCTAAATCATTATTGGAGCTTAAATGTGCAATCCGATGCATCCTTAAGGCTTTGTGTGCATTGCACCAAGCAGGCTTTGTACATAAAAACATTTGTTGGGAGAATATTATAGTGTCAGCAAATGATAGCACAGATTGGATTTTAATTGATTTAGAGCATGCTGGCAAGATTGGTTCTGTTTCATATCAGCTGCAGTGGTGGCCTCATGGTGTTGGACTGGGTGCAGAGCCATATAATCCAAGATGTGACCTTTATCTTGTAGGTGAGCTTATAAGGCTTAGTGGCATGATTCTAGGGGATGCTGACATAGCATTCATGAATAATCTTCAAGAAATGCCAAAACACTATACAGCAATGAAGGCACTCAAAGATAGCTGGTTTATTTAGGGTAAAGATAAAGAAGCATGGAATACCATGTCACTGAATTAAACATAATTATACTGTCATGAGTATGGAATTAAATAGCTGCTGAATATGAACAACTATTACTATAGGGGGGGGAAGAAAAGAGAAAAGGGTCACAATGTAGTAGTTCTTGCAGAATTCGGTGCACATATTGCATGGCTCTAAAAAAAAGTGGGCTGTATTTGACAGTCAGTATTTGTCTTTAAAAATTAGTCTTTGTGAAACTTTGCAATTTGTAATAAATCTAAATCTCAGGAAGGAATACAAGCTAACATTCATTGGAATTATTATTACATGCAAGAATGTAGTAATAGTAAACATTGGGTAGTACTAATTAGTATTAGTATGGCAAATTGATAGATTGATCTCAAGCTGGCCCTGTTTAATACAATGGCTGAGTTTGGCTTTTCCTGAATCAGTTACCATTATGCACATCTCACATAGCAATCATTTATTTCTATCAATAATTAAATAAAAATCCAGAAAGTGTGAAATGGTTGTGTTCAAGATGATAAAATTAATATATAGGATTAATACAATGGTTCGACTGAATATGAAAAAGCAATGCGTTCTTAGAGATAAGTTGCAATTGTGGTCGCTCAAAAAGATCCTGAGAGAAAGGTTTGCCGAGTTACGTGAAGCGTTTCAAGCTCTCTCTAGATCCGAACAAGACATATTTTTAATGGCCCCGTTGAAAGCAATGAATGGCGGAGAAATAACTGCCGGTGTCGACGTCTTAAAAAGAAAATGCGTACTAATAAGAGAACGTTTTATTACTGAAATCGCAATACGCCTCTTTTCCAGAAAACGTATCTCAATATGTTGGGAATTGCCCGCACTCACTTCGAAAACATTCTAGCGGCGAATGGTATAATACCACGTGCTCATGATAACGTAAAAAGAGTACCGCGATGGAAAATAAAATAACCATTGATATAACCGTTGCTGCCGCCGTGAAGAATTTTCTCGAAAACTATGCTGAAATTCACGGACTACCAAGGCCTGGTAGAAATGTTAATCGAATTACTCAATCGCTTACACTTTTGCCAGCTGAAACGAGTTAGAAATCGGTCTGTCGTGATTTTATTGCAGGTCTCGAAATAGCACGCTGAAATTATTAAAATATTATGCGTTTCGTAAGTTATGACACCAATTAACGCCATATATTCAAATCATGAGTCCAAGAACGGATTTATGTGATGCGTGCCAACATTTCGGAATGGCTTACAGTATAATGCTCGTAAGGAAACCGAATAAAGGTGAAAATTACCTGCAATAACGCTGATGGTCAGAATAAAAATAAAGCTACTATTTGATTTTATTTGTATTTGGTAATTTGTGGTTATTATGAAAGTATCGAATTAAATTTCATGGTACCTGGACATACTAAATTTAAGTGTTGATTGTAGTTTTGGACTGATTAAAAAGCTCTATAGAAAAACAACAGTAGATTGTGTGAACCATATTGTCGATGTTGTGAAAAATCGAGTACAGCGGAATTAAACAAAGCTCAGTGTTATGACAACGGAAAAGGTTTCCATCTTAATTCTGTGTTGGGGATTTTCTTTGCTTTGTATTCGCCAATACTGGAGTTGTCAAAGCCCAGATGGTTGCTAATGGTGCTTATACAGAATTTAATTTGTTGAAAACTAGAAAAGCAAGTGTTTCTGAAATTACCAAAGAAATTAAATCCTTTTCTATCCTAGTACTAACCCCTCCTCCTTTGGATTACAAAAGACAAGAGTATCTTTATCAAAACATTCGCCAATTTGTTAGACAAATTCAAAGGTATTACTGCCCAAGACCAGCCTATACCAGAAATGAATAAATATTTAGACTAGAATCCTCCCTATCATTTCAATGTCAAGTTCTCTGTCTATTTTTCAACAAAGATTGCTAGTTTTTCCCGCTTTTAATTTTAAAGCTTAAATAAAAAGAAATGTCAAAATAATTATATTAATATTCCTCATACACGCAACTCGCTAATAATGTAGCAATTAGTCCCCCAGAAATCTACAAAGTATATACAGTAAATATTTGGAATTCACATTTACTTAGGTTGTGAAATCAACAATGAGATTTCAAGAGAATCAAATACGCCTATGAAGCAAAATAATGCTTATAGACTTGCTTTGCTTTATAGGCAAAGCAGGGATGGTAATACAGTTAAAAATTTTAGAGAATTGTGCAATAACAAGGAGCCCACAATTGCTGTTGGGGAAGTATTCGATATTGAAGAAATACTTGGTGGATATTACCCATTGCATGGAGCGTCAAAACATTTACTGTATATTCGCATTAAATAAAAACAAGGGTGTATAATAGTTTTATTGTTAATAGTTCACAAGCCATTAGAAAAAAGACATGCCAAGTTCCAATAAGGCATTTATCAGATTGCTTTGAATGGATTGATTGGGAGGTATTCTTAGTTGAAATAAAAGATAACCATTGTCAGGATTAACAGTACAGTAGTAATAGATGATGTGTTCCGACATTGAACTATTACTATGTCTGCTCATCACAAACAAACCGTAGTAGAAGAATTCGGAGTAATGCAGATCAGGAAACGTAAAAATATACGATAAATAGTTATTTATACATTCATCTTGTGGTCTATACGTGCACTACCAACTTTTTAAGTTATTATAGATAGTCCGCATTGGAACCTTTGTTGCTTTTGAATGTCTTTGGCTGAACGGACTCCTATGTTTCAAAAACGTAATATAGTTTCTCGCTGGTTTTTTAAATCGGAACTTGCCATTTTGTTAATATTTTGTTAAAAAAGTGGCTTCTAAAAGACATTACGCTATTTAATAGAAACCAAGTTTACGTGATTTGGTTTATTTTGGGGGAAAGTTACGCCAATAATTTCTGATGACAAAATATTATACAATTTCGCTGAATTAGAAGAACAAGTTAATTTACATTTACGAACGTTGAACAGAACGTTTCTCAAAAACGTTTGAATTCGGTGATGAATTAATTGTAATTGATGATTCTCAAGTATTAAGCACTGATGATCCAGATAAAGCCGAAGAAAACCGAGTGCGTAATATAATACCTTATTTATCTTACCTATTGTTTACACACTGTAAGTGGGAATTCGATCTTGTCCATCGAATTCCGAGTTGGTAAAAATACGGTTGCTAATTAATTGTCTATAAATGTGTTTATTTTGATATACACAGTGGCTCTCTTTATAGTGGACCTCCGTTACAGTGAATTTGGGTTATTGTGGAGGAATTTTGGAAGCTTTTTTTCCCTTCTAATTAAACTAGCTCTGTATAGTGTATTTATGTAGAAACTATTCGGATACCGGATAAGGAGAAATATACTTTATTGATTATAGTCTAGAGCGCCTCTATATAATGCATGTATTTCACCGACAATACACTTCACCGACGTCATTTTCACGTGACACATTGTTATCGCACTTATTATCATTGGTTTTCGATGAAATTTATGTCGGTGAAACGTACTGTCGGTGAAATACATGCACTATATAGATATTATGGAGCCCACAATATATATTGTGTAGTTCGTTCGATATAGTGGAGAGTCAGAATCATCGGTGAAAGTAAGTGATGCTTTGGAAGGATTAACGAATATAGGAAGATATTTACAACAAAGTGATATCATGGGGTTGAGTTTGTAACGATGAAAATGTTAAACAGTTTAAATATCAAATTCTTCGAAGCGGAACTACTTGGTTTCATCTCTTGTACTAATAAAATATTAATATCCGTTATTGATTATTGGAAATGTTGTATTTTGTTCTCTACCGATACTTTGATGTAAGAATTCCCTAGTGACTAATAAAACATGTTACGGAATAATTATTTTGTTATAGATTAATAAGCAGGGCATGAGAAGTATTCGGCTATTATATTATTCTCTGAATTGACATTTTGCATATAAGTTCTTCGCGATTAATAAGACAAGTAGCAGAGTATCCGTCTATTGATGTTTTGTGATAATATCTTGGCGACTAATAAGGGAAGCGTGAGAAGTGTTCAGTTTAGAAAGATTGCGATTATAAGACATTATGTTTAATACAGAAAAGGCGTTCGTAATAATAAAGACGATGTACAGTGGCCTATCAAAAGTCACCGGACGCCCCCAAAATTTACTAGTAAAACATATGGAATGTCTTTCCTTTCAAAAATCTCTCCTGCCCATGTGTACTATGCGAAGGATAATTTTTTTTGTATGGTTCGGAAGCTAATTGATTGTGCTTTTCCAAAAAATCAACAATAAATTTTTATAAATTATTGTTATAAAGCGGTAGCAAGTTGAACTAGCTATCTTTAAATCACGATATAAAAATCTATAATATGTGTATAGCACGTATACTCACACTTCGTCAAGCTACTGTTTTATAACGATAAAATATACTTTTTTTTTTCGAAAATCACAATCAATTAGCTTCCAAACCATACAAAATTATCAGTACACATGAGTAGGAGCGATTTTTGAAAAGAAAGACATTCCATATGTTTTACTAGTAAATTTTCGTGGTGATTACTCACTTCTGGCAGGGTACTGTACATATAAATTATAGATTTTCATATCGTGATTTAAAGACAGCTACTTCAACTTGCTACCACTTTATAACGATAATATATAAAAACATTTTGTTAATTTTTGGAAAAGCACAATCAATTAGTTTCCGAACCATACAAAAAACATTATCTTCGTATAGTACACATGTGCCGGAGAGATTTTTGAAAAGAAAGACATTCCATATGTTTTACTAGTAAATTTTGGGGGGCCCGGTGACTTTTGATAGGCCACTGTACATACCTCAAGTTTTTGAATTGTACCCGGGGTACTGTGTGCGGAGGAGGGTACTATTTGAGGTCAACTGCCGATAATTCGCGTTAATTCGACCGCTGGTTACAGACATTTATTATTATTTCTATTGTAATTAACTGACGATAATTCGACTTGTACATTAATTCGATCGATAACCTCGGAACGCAAGCGGTCGAATTATAGGCAGTTGACTGTACTTTGAAATTCCTTCTCAGAATGATGTAATTTACCATAATAAAGCTCATCGGAATTTATCTCTACTTCTTGGCTAACGCGAAAGCGCCGAAGTTGGAATGCTTTAGAAAACTTGCCATTGTTTTGTATCAAGAGAAGGTATCTAATTAAACCGAGAAGTTGAAGATTAAACTTTAAGAGAATTTCCAGGAAAATGTCCCGCTTATTAATAAACAAGTCGGCGATAATCGCTATGATGGGAATGAATTAAATTATGCAAATCTTTAGTCCTACATAGTTGGTTTGCGTTGTAATTGGATTTCTTTTGATGCTAGATTTTGGTTGATTATAAATCTTACGCTTTTACCAGACAGTCGACTTTTAGTTGATTGTATAGATTTATTATGCTGAGTTCGTTACATTGATGAGTACATCGATGAGTAGTTTTTGTGTATTGTACTATTACCATCATATATGTGTAACATGTGACGTACAATAATAATAAACTATGTGCATTCAAAAACTTCACCAAAAATTCCTGAATTGTATCCGGGTTCTAATTGAGGGGAGGACTAATATTCGGCGGTCTAACGGTATACACTAAAATTCGTGACGTTAGTATTCCTTCTTTTTTTGAAAAAACCGGCCATAAAACACATAAAACCGGTAAAACACGCATATTAAAAATGCTTGTAAAACATTAGACTTACTATCAGACACGGGACATGTCTTTTTTTTTTTTATAATTTAGAACTTTATTGCTATGGAAAATAATCCGTCAAAATCTTCCAAAATACCATTTCTATTTCTCACCTCTTTCACACTTGTCTTCATGCTTCTTTCATCTGGTCTCGCATTCTCATCATTTCAAATGTAATCCTTCCTTCTTCAAACCCTTCCACATTAATAACATCTCCCTATCCAGTTCACAAATATATAGCACGTTTTCTTTAATCATCTGCTATATGGACAATTTGAATTTCATTTGGCACTCTCCATTAAATACTCATAAATATTCTCTAAAAATTCTTATCTCAAATATCTTAATTAATCGATCTATTCATAAATCAATTTTTCCCTCCTCCCCGCTGGCTCTTAGATGTTAAAATTAGCTTTAGCGGGTACCGCAGCTTTGCAACAAAGTCGTACAAATATCGAAAATATTGAAAATGTGAAAATGCTTTATTCAATATACTAATATTAATATTGATATGGTCCATTGGAAATCCAATACCGTAAGCATTAATAAGAGCTTGTAATGTTATGAAGTGACTATCTCTCACCCAAAAATATAACCTTATTATTACACTCACTGGACAAAAGTCTACGTAAATTTTGTCGATCAATTAGTAAAACATATGAAAGATCTATTTTTTCGAAAACCTCTACTGGCTGTATCTACTATGTAAGTCACAATGATTTTTGTACCGATTTGAAGATAATTTGTTGTATTTTTGAGAAAAATAATGATATGATTAGTCATTTTATCATTCCGAAGTTACATCTCGATGAAGTGGTGGTATCTATGTGTAACATAGACACCGCCACTTCATCGAACTACAGCTTTGAGGGGGTGGCGGGGCTAAATATATCATTATTTTTCTCGAAAAGTACAATCAATTATCTTCAAATGGTACAAAAATCATTGTGACTTACATAGTAGATACGGCCAGTAGAGCTCTTTGAAGAAAAAGATTTTTCATATGTTTTACTAATTGATCGACAAAAATCACGGTGATTTTTGTCCAGTGAGTGTATAATCCGAAGATAGACCTTAATATGAGGGAACATTTATTACGTGATTATTTGTAGATCAATGATTGCATTCATATAGAAAGAAAGCTTGCAATTAAGTCCCATCATGGGACTGAGCAATTGCTGTGCACTTAGATGGAGATGTTGCATTTAGAGAGGGTTGACTGTATTGTAAAATTATTGTATGCAGTCAACACATCTAAATAATTTCGTATTTGTTCTCGTATTAATCTGAAATTTGAGAGGGAGAAACCCCGTATTAATTCGCCGAGTTGACATACATATCTTTAAGACGATAGTTTTTTATTACATAAAAAGAATAGCTTAATTTTATCGAAAACTTATTATTATATTGCTTTTATTATATTTGTCATAATATCTTTGAAGATTTTTTCTATTAAAATACGCTTAAAACTATGAACAAATCTTGTCCTAAATAATTGTATTTATATTTCCATACAAAGCGACTTAGAATTGTTTCTAAATAAAACATAAAAACTGCAGATAATCATAATATTTTGTTTTATCTTTAAAGATTCTTCCGCTTAAAACTATCAATAAATCTTGTCCTAAATAACGTATTTATATTTCCATATAAAGCAACTTAGTATTGTTTCTAACTAAAACATAAAAACAGTAGAAAAAGGCTGGTTTTGTTTGTCTAATTAGGTATACTAATACATATTCTAAATGGTTTAATTTATTATATTGCAAAAAGGCCACGTCCAAAAAATTTGCGTGTGATATTGGTCTTGTGCCGCTTGCATAAATGGATTTATAGCAGTGGTAGGATTCACAGCATTATTATTGGAGAAGTTGTCGCTTTTACTTTCAAACCAAGCACCGTAATATGTGTTATTACACGCGCCATAACCATCAGCATACAGGTCCTTGTCAATTGCAACTTGGACGACGTCATGATGGTGCTCATTAGCGGTACTGTTCAGTTGACCAATTCTTTCTTCCCCAACAAGACTAGAGTTGGCGCCGCCGCTTTTACTATTTAATGTTTCTCCATCCTCTTCACAATTTGGATTCATGTTTTCGAAGAGCTTATACCTATGCTGCTTAATTCTCTTTGGCCGATAAGCATATTCTGGGTACGCAGTCTTATGCTGCTCTTGAGCAATCTTGGCAAGTACTTTGAAATATTGTTTGACCGCGCAAGGGAGGTTTCGCCAACGGTTACTGGCAGCTGTCGAAATCTCAGTCAGAGAATGTGCCGTGCCAGGATGTTTTGCACGTATTTGGCTAAAAAAATCTTTGCGAAAAATAATCCACGAGTTTTGCGAACGAGGAGGATTGAAACATTTTCTACGCGCCGGTCTGAGAAGCTCGTCAAGGGAACATGTGAGTTGGTAAGGTGGTCGGAGAAGAAGTGTGCGCTCGTGTAGAGTAAGAGATGTATAATAGAACGTAGACTTTGTCGAGCAGATACGAGCAGTGGTGGGAAATGAATCCAAGTTGAGCACAGCTGTGATTGGTTTAATTGGAACATAGTGGTCAGACATTGTCACTATTACGCACTGGACTAATGGCTATGGTCAAATACATGCATATATATATGTGTGTGAATATACCGACTAACTAAATAAAGCACAATAAGCATGATTGACCTAATGGACCATTGCTTTACAACAATGTCTTATTTGGATGGCATTGTTTCGCATGTATTCTGGCCAAAAAAGTATCCCAATCAATTAGCAAAACTACTCTCTTTTTTGCATATACATTTGAGTAAACCATATTATTCAGGCAGATTTGCTGTATCAAAATTTGTAAATTTAAATATTGTACGCTGGGCAATTGACGTCGGGGTAATGTTTATCATATAATGATATTAAGAAATAATGCAACGATCACAACATAACGGTCGGGCCATTTTAGATAAACATCTCCATATAGTGTCGAAAAACGAGGAGGATAATTCGACTCTAACTATGTAAGGTAAAATACTTTGGAATTAATGGCTTACCTAATGGCTTAAGTAATAACTAAACGCTGTCGTTGCGAATCATGCCTCTCATCCGATCACACTGGAGAATCTTGTGATATTTGACAGCATCGAGCAAGGATTTTGTCACAGCATTCGTGACGTTAAAATTGGCAGTAACGTTGTCATGCCAGAACCTGAACGTATCGCGTTACGTTGACTGGTGTATAATATTCGAGGGCGGCGATAATCATCATGTTAGAAATGAGTCGTTATTTCGCTTCTTTTGTTACAATATGCAGGTCGATCATGAAAGCGTGGGAATACGACAATACATAATGCTATACTAATACGGTTTAAACGAAACGTGGCCTTCCCCCTGCATCGGTAAAACGTTCTCACCCTTGTCATTGAATAAATAACCTAATAAGCATACTGACACTGCGCAATACAACAGAAAACGCTACACTACTCGTTCTTCATTTCATATGTACCAATGCTGTTCCAAATCACAGGACTTTGAATGTCATATCTTTTTGCCTGTCTGCTAAAATGAGAATATTGGCCTACACCAAACAAGTGCTCCATAGAATCAAAGTAAAAAAAAAACACACTTTAAGCTGATAAGCTATTCAAAGTAACTAACGAGTGTCAAGTTCTTGTTAAAATTGTTTCAAGATTTAGCATCGATGATACTCGAGCATATTGTCTTTAGGAAGCAGACAATACAACTATATGCACACATGTGAAATGCCTTCATTATAGACATTCGTATTCATACATTTATTATTATTATTGGAAGATTATTACGTGTAACTATTTAAGATTTCGTAGAAAACAATGGCTTAACTACTAGAACCAATAATCGATAATCGTTTTAAAGCTGTACCGGTCTTCATCGTGTTCATTCAGACCACAGCGTGTACTCCAGTCAGTGTTATAGTCTTCATATGATATCTACTATGTGAAGACTTGACATTATTGTGCTACCAGCGCTTACATAGCGAATAGCGTCAAGAACGGCATGTGATAACATCTCTCAGCCATTCGGTTTTGAGTCGTCTATTTTAAAAAGGCAGGACATTGACCACTTTTGATCGATGTACAATTAATTTAATACTTATCTTCATGTGGAATTAAAGTTGTCTGGAGATTTTGCAAATCTTGTTCCGACTTTACATTAATACCCCATCACATGTAAAATGGCGAACTCTCACACACTGACACATCTATCCAGATTACATGACATACTCCGTCTAGCGTCCTGCTGGGTGATTTCAGTATGGGCGTAACAAAGATAATATAGCGTCTTTTTTTTAATAAGGAGACACATAGCAGAGTCTAAGTCAGGAAATTAAAGACAATGTTAAGAGATTCGAGCCGAAAAAAGGCAACCGGCACATAAATTTGGTTAGCACTGAGGATGATATCTACAAAACTGTCTGCAAATTCGTGCCTTGTTGTCGTGTATCGCTTCAATGTCAAATGCAACCTTCTTGTTTCGCAATGAATGTTTGCGGAAACATGTAATTTGAACTTACTACTGTGAAGGTCAAAGCAGTTTAGACTTTATTGTGATAGCGGCCGTCAATCAAACTGGTTAGAGAACAGACCTTTATGTAAAAATATAACTACTAAAATATGCAGCTTTTATTTCATAAGCGAGCGATTTGACCGTACATAAAAACTTGATATTGTTGTACTCAGATTCCTGTTCAGTAATACTACACTCAGATTTGATTAACAAGTCTCAAACGGTTAGTAGCAATTACTGTTGTATTATTTTTCTTTGGCTAATATGCCATGTTACCCCCTCTTGTCTGTAAATATATAATACGTCGTCCGTTGGTTTAGTGTTTTACTGGTGCTAATTTATCAAATGAAAGAGTAGCTTTATATTGGGTTAATGGGACCGTATTATTTCATCGACAATCATTTCACATTTTACCGACAATTAACTACTAAAAAAGGATAACTTCGAAATAATGTTGGTAAATATTTGTCGGTAAAATAATTGTCGATGAAATGATTGCCTCCCGGGTTAATGTATACATAAATAAGCCAAGGGAAAAACATTATCTAATCGACGCTCTTAATATTGGATTTTTAGTTTAGTGGTAAAATTGTACTCGAACTAATCTCTGACGACTTTGCTAAACTTGCCGAGTTTGTAGTTAAAATTGGATTCAGTAACGTAACGACAGCTGACATCCACGTAACTGTAACACAAAAGTTTAATAGCAAAAACATATGAAAAGTCTTTCTTCTCCTGCTCTTGTGTTCTATGCAAAGTGCAAGAATTTTTGTATGGTTCTAAAGCTAATTGATTGTGCTTTTCGGAATAACAATAAAATTTTGCAAGCAAGTTGAAGCAGCTGTCTTTAAATCACGATGCGAAAATATATGATTATATACGTATAGCACGTATACTCACACTTCGTCGAGCTATTAGCTTATAACAATAACTTATAAAATTTTATTGCTATTATTTTCAAAAAACATAATCAGAATCATGCAAAGATTATTGCACTTTGCATAGTACACAGGAGCAGGAGAGATTTTTGAAAAGAAAGACTTTTCATATGTTTTATTATTAAGATTTGCTGTACATCTACGTATAAGTTTAGTTAGACTTGTCGAGTTTTCCTGAAAGTTGTTATAAAGGCATATTGTTCCTTCGTTTTTGAAAGTTGGCCTGTGGTAAGGATCGTTGATACGGCAAATAAAATTTAATATTGACACACGTGGGCGTTGCACAAGATCCGCAAAATTAACTTACTCCGCATGCGACCCTGCGTATCAGCAGATCACACAATATAATAAAAAAGGCGAATTCCCGATATTTAATATAACCTGTTCATTTATTTTCCTGATGAATAACAAAATATCCGGTCATAATTGTTTGTGAATATCTGCAATTTAGCGAACCTTAGAAGAGTTTGCATAGATAAACTTGTGTTTGGAAAAATTACATAGTAAAGTCTTGTCTGTTTAACGACTTACAATCGATTAAAGAAAACAATATTATACGTATTCACACCAAATTTACGTTTTGCGTGTGTATGTGTGTGTCTTATGTGTGTGTATGTGTATGTGTATGTGTATGTGTGTATGTGTATGTGTGTGTTTTCTTTTTCCATACTCATACGTCAATTCCGTAAAACTAGTTTCATTCTTTGTTACAATTATTTAATCAATTTTCCATTCAAACCCATAATGTTAATATTGGCAGGCAGTGAGTAAAAATATTCTTGAGGAGGAGTTTGCGCAAACATTTGAGCAGGCCATTGGGAGATTGCAAACCAAAATGGGTTGGTATTATAACAGTGCTCTGGATAAATCGTTCGATGTATTGTATCACAGTTGCTTGCCTCATTTTGGCATACGTCTTCAACCCCAGTGTCAACAAACATGCTGTCACATTCGACATCTTCACTAATACTGTTGATGTGCAAATTTACGTTATTTTCCAGACGCTGATTATGTTGCTGTTCAATAATGGCAGATTCATCCAATCGATAACATGTATCATTATTTCCGTGGTCTCCGTAAGCAATCCTGTTATTATTCCCATTGCCAACGAATGCACTTTTATTTATATTTTTGAACAACCAGGTTTCACTTTTACCTTTTGGCTTGTACCTATAACCAGGAAAGGCAGCTTTGTGTCGCAGTCGAGCCAATTTAGAAAGGACCTTAAAATACAGTTTGACAACTTCCGGCATTTTCGACCAATGCTCGCTGGCCATTTTTGAGATTTCATTAACAGAATGTAACAAATTGGGGTGTTGAGTTCGTAATCGATTTTCAAAGTCTTTGCGAAAAATAACCCACGCATTTTGAGGACGAGGGGGAGAGTTTTTTCTAAAGCGGTTTTTTCGAGGATTGAGGAGTTCGTCAAGAGGTATTGTGACTATATGTGGAGGCTTAAGTAAAAGGTTACGTTCATAAACGGTAAGATTATTGATCAGATTCATTGTTGAAAAGCCAAGCATAGTAAGCGATGGAGTTGGACTATTGTAAGAGCAAACTTTAGGCAAAGCTGGCGCCGGCTTAATTGGAATAAAGTGGGTAGACATAGTGTTGTTTATTGTTTAAGCATAAATATTAGGTTTAGAAGCTGACGACTGTCGATAAAGATATTCGTTCTTATATAAGAATCGGAACACATGCAAAAAAAAAAAAATACGCTGTGTAGAACTTGAACTACTTAATCAATCCCTTAATTAACAATCATATAATTCGAGATGTTGCGTTTCTTATTAGACATATTCGAGGTAACCGACCCATCATCTGTTCTCATAGTAACTTGACATAATCCGCAAGCAGTAGGAGAGGACAGATTATTATTATGACAAGAGTGATAAATAAAATCAAGTCTTTTGGAGCAGACGAAAAATAATAAATAACGTACTTCAATAATATGGGTCCGGTTCATCGGGAGGTAATCATTTCACCAACAATCATTTCACCAACACTATACTGTCGGTGAAATGATTGTCGATGAAATAATACGGATCCGGTTCATTTCACCGATAATCATTAACTATAGTTATAATCATTTCACCGACAGTACGTAAATTTCATCGAAAACCAATGATAAGTGGGATAAAAATATGTCACGTGAAATGACTGTCGGTGAAGTGAAATGATTGTCGATGAAATAATAATATGCATATGTACTAGACCGATTGACCAATGAGAATATCATATCGGTTTAATGACCAGAACACATAATAATAACATGTAAATCTGATAGCCTTTAGCTTAAAAAATCGACCACATGTTTAATACAAACGAAATAACTTTTATTAGAGAAAGTGTCGATCATGTATTACCGCAGATATATATTATAACGAAGCATTAACTAACATGCGTCTTTTATCAAGATGAGCGAATCCATACATGCATCATTCCGTTTGGTCTATTAGAAATTTCCATGTACTGATAAGTAAAGGCATGCAAAGCTTTCTGTATTTTGCATCAGTTCCGAACAATAGACAATGTCTAAATCATGATTTGTCATTTCTTGGAAACATTATCGAAAAAAAGGAAAGAAGACCGTACAGAATCTTTGGTTATTACTGTAATATTGTCTACGAAGCGTCGTAGGTACCTTATTATTATTAATTATTAATCACTGTAACACAATGGATGCATAAACCATTATTCCGACATATGTTTATAATTTCCGAATGTCTTGTTAAGCTAAATGATTTCACGTCATTTGTTTTTGGTAAGCAAGCTGATTTGCGCTTGCGGACAGTGACGTATACATCCTCGGTTTGGAAATTAAATTATCCAGCTAATTAATTTAACAAAACTTTGTCTGCTCGCCTGCTCTAGACTGAAGTAACTACCAGCAAAATTAATCGGTAATGTGTTCGGGCATATACGATACCGATTTCAATCGGGGAGTTTCCGTACACCTTTTAAAACAATCAATTTAACATCACTAAACATTTCTGCGTGTTTACATTATTTAAAAGAGCAAACCTAAAACAATATAAATCCTCTGTCTCCATGCATTCATCACAAATATCGGTCTTCGCCAAGAATAAGTTTAATTAATTATCTGTTTTTTAATTCTCTCTGTTTGTGAACCACTATTATCACTATTGTTAGCAGGTGCTTCCAAATTCCAATAATGTGGCATAATTTTGTTTCATCTCTCGGATCGTATGTAAATATCGTATTCCACTCTATTCATAGGATACATATTACTGTATTAGGCAAAACCAATAACCTACAGACCCCTGACAATGGTATTGGTGGATCAGCTGATCTGCAAAATTTTCTGATGACATTGTAATTGAGAGCGAACCAGATTAGCAAATTAAGTAAAAAAAATGTGTTAAAAACCTTAGAACGTGTTGTTTTAAATAATCAAATTTGCTTTCAATCATTCAAGCGAAAGCAAAATGCCAAAGACGATAGAGCTTACAGAGATCGAACGTGCGGAAATAGTCGGTGCTTCAAAGTTTGGCAATCAGTGTTGCTGAGATCGCCAGACCCTGAATCGACGGTTAGAAACGTTTTCAACATGTATAAGCAGTATGGGACGGCTAGAAATACTTCTGGAATAGGAACATCGAAATCCATGAGTGAGAGAGATAAGCGGCATCTAAAATTGATCGTACGAAAAGATCGTAGAGCTGTTCTTGCTGAAATAGCAAATAAGTAAACAGCTTCAGACGGAAACCTGTTTGCGAACGTACGGTGCAAAGAGCACTACACAAAGAGGGTTATTATGGACGTATTGGGGTAAGAAAACCATTGACCAGTTTAAAAAAAGGCCAAGTTTTTGTAGGGAGAGAGTAAATTGGACGGCTGAGTGGAATAACATCATATTCAGCGATGAGTCACAATTTAAATCAATCGTCTTAAAAGAGTATGGCGGCTACCAAATGAAAGGTATAATATAGACTGCTTGATTTGTGTGTAATTGTGTTGGTCCACTAGTTTACTCGAGGGTAAGGTTACAGCTGCAGTATACTTAAGAAACGCCATGGGTTTTCAAGATGACAATGGCCCAATTCATAGAACGAGAGCAGTTGTCACGTTTAAAGAAGATAATAATATAGCCTCACTTCCCTGCCCCACCCCAAAGTCCCGATCTTAATCCCATCGAACATTTATGGGATGAATTAGAAAGGCGATTAAGAAAGCGTTCTTATAACCAAAAAACCTTTTAAAGTTTTAACAGAAGAATGGAATAGAATAGAACCAGAAAAATTGACAAATTCGGTTGATAGCATGCCACTGCCGTAATAAAGGCTAAGGGCAATCCTACCTATTATTGATTGTATGAATACATAAACCTCTTTATACCGATACGAGTGGCACGGGCCATTTTTATCGGTATAACCAGTTTATCGGTATAATCAGAGGCCCTCTTTATAACAGTACAATCTAATAGGACTATTCGGGTAAACGAAACTTTATCGGTATAAACCAATTATCGGTATAAAGAGGTTTGACTGTAGATGACATTTTTAATAAGTAAACTGAATTTGTTCGTAAATTATTATGTAGATTGACAAGTGAATTTATGCTAAATATCAATTTTCAATGATCTGCAAAATCCACCAATACCATTGTCAGGGGGACTGTATATGTACAGTAGTAGCGGAAAATAATATTTCTCAGTTGAGATGCATTCGTTATACATAAAATTATAATAATCAATTATTATTTCCCTCTTTCAATAACAGTCTAGTCTCTAAACATTTTTCCCTTCCAGAACATAGATTTGCTAGAATAGATTTATCAATATTATCCCTTTCTGATAAAATAATCGATAAAAGGCACTAATCCAATTAATTTTTTTTTACCAATAATGATACGAATACGTTGATTTACCAATTTTTTCCCTTCATTATTGCTCATAAGCCTTCTATAAAGTTTAGGTCAGGTCAATCAAGAATTTACGAAAGTAAACAAAAAACGCGTTGTTGGTTCAGATATTATCTTATGTAACTTTCTATGCATAAATTCTTCATAGTAAACAAAACAGAAAATATGTAAATATTAGTAAAATAATGCAATTATTTTCCGCCATTACTGTATATGGCTTTGTAAAATGTTGATGCATATATAATAAATACAATACTAATTAATAAATCCACAATGGGAAGGTATTTAGCAATCTATATAAGAATAATTTGTCCTTCCAATAAGTTAAAATGACACAAACCTTTGTGAGTAACAAATTCGGGTTGTAAATAGAAATGTTCCTACATGATGGGATGTCCGGCTATTTCTGGTGGTTATGATGTAACGGTAACGTATTAAGGTAACGTATAGTACAATATTAGAGGATTGGCTTAATATTTTACCCAAAGTTAGAAATCACGGGACAGGCACATACGTTCTCTAACTATTAGCGAGGCTAAATTATAGAGATCCGCGTTGTGTAAGAATTCCTTTTTTGATAGCAGACTTGGACTTTTTAAAACGTTCGCAAAGTTTATTGTTAAATTCGAATAATAACAATGCCAAGTACTGTAGCAAACAGAACCAAAATTCTTGGTCCTCATTTAACGAACAAGAAGTTGTAAATAAAAAAATCGGATATAAAAAAAAACGCATTTGGTTTTTCATGTTTCAAAAAGCAAAGCAAAAATATACATGAATGCCAAATGCTTTGCGTTGCGCGCAATAACGCTAGGAATTCTCGGCATTGCATTGTTACCCTTAACATTCAATTATATTTGAATATTTGCTTTATATAATATAATATATATTATATTTGTTTATCTATTTGACGTAATAATAAAAACTTGTGATAGAAAAGGTGTAATGTTATGTGTGTGTGTGGGGGGGGGGGGGGCACATGCGCGGATAATAATTTTTCAAGCGGCGATCGGGAAATATGACTTCCTGTTTTAGATGCTTTTTCTGCAACCGGATATGGTTACAAGTACAAAGAATTGGAGACTTTGTTAAGTGGAGAGAGATCCATCACCTGAGCCAATAATGCAATGGAATGTATCACAGAAATCGTAAAAAGTTTATTGCAATCCATATCTGGTATTTTACATAAAAAAATTTTTTTCTTACTCAATAACGACACAGTTTTTAATTTTTGTCTAACAATAAATATAATACACATAAACCCACTTTTTGTTATAAACTTATATTAGAGAATAAGAATGGCTTGTTTTCTTATAAACCGAGTTAGATCACATGATCTCAAACCCAGTTCCAGGGTAATAACCTGAATGCTTAAACTTCGTGCTACTCAATGCTCAATGTACATAGGCTTAATTACATGTGTGATAAAGTTCCCAACAAACATAAAAAACCGTCTTATCGGCTATACAAAAAAAAGCGTAGTATAATGGAATGGTCTGGAAAAACACAAGAAACCTATATGGGGAATTTTTATCAATAATATGGATGAAATAAATCGATAGATATATTTTGTTGTATGTTTTGTATGTTTTGTATGGTTTGTATGTTCTGTATATTTTGTTGGATAAAATATGTACAATATAGTCCTGTCGCACCGGAATCACTTTCAAACCATGTGTGTGTGGGTTTGTCATCACTTATAATAAAGTCACCATCAGTGTCCCTGGTGTACAACCTTCCGTCGTCGGTCTCCAACAGTAAATCGGGGTACTGTTCAACGTCCAATTCATTCGCTTGATAAACACATTCGCTCTCATAATCGGGGTTGTATTGATCGATGCTACGTCTGCTTTCCTCGCACACATTCTCGCTACTGCTGCTACTATGATCCATAAACGCATCCTTGTTCAAATTTTTGAACAAGGCTTTAGACCTTCTAGGACGTCTGGCATGTCTAGATTTTCTTGGTTGGTAAGTGTAGTCGGGATACATAATATTATGTTGATATAGAGCCAATTTAGCAAGCACGCGAAAGTACTGTTTGACATTGCTCGGTTGGTTTTTCCAGTGTACGCCGGCAATTGCCGAGATCTCATGAAGAGTGTACATTGCATTAGGATGTTGGGCGCGTAGCTGACTTTCGAAATCTTTGCGAAAGATAACCCATGAATTCTGAGGACGAGGAGGAAGATCTTTCTTGAAACGAGTGCGGCGATGTTTGGGGATGGGATTTAAAAGAGTGTCAATTGGAAGAGTAAGAATGTAGGGAGGGGCAGTCAGGAGACTTAATTCGGAATGAGTAAGGCAGCTAGTATAGCAGGCAGATTGAAAGATGGAATCGTTGGATTGATCGTTAAAGGATCCAACATTGGAAAACGTTGTCGTTACGGCGTTGTAGGTAGACATGAATGTAGTGATATCAAGTTGATTGATGGACGATGAAGTGTAGATTATGAGATATGATATTGTATCGTTATGTTCTTTGAAAGATGGTGGGGGGTAAATAGAAACATTCGACAGGTATATATAGAGTTTAATAAATATACAGGATAATTTACAATCAATACGGGTTGGTTTCGTAAACCGGAAGAAAAATTATTACAATGTATCACAATTGTTGTGTTACACACCACGGAGGATGAAGGTTTATGCGATATTCAAAGCCGGATTTGTAATTAGTATGAATTTGCCTGTTTTTCAAAGGCAGACTTGCAATTTTGCCAATTGACTATTTAAAGTAGGCCCAAAAAGACGGGTTGCATCTGAATGGGAGGGGTTTTCGACGGCAAGGTCGGTCGACTATGCTAAACCAAGTCTCTCTGAATTGATGATGTCAGTCAGACGAGTCATTGTTACGATAATCATGATCGTCATGATGGAAAACAAACGACCCAAACAAGTAAAATCTAAAAACTGGTGATTTGCAACTACCAAAAGAAGATACTTGTCGTCAATTTACTAAAATTATCATCACCCAATGCCCTGCAAGCATGGGTTTGTAGTATATAAACAATAAGTCATTATGAATTGTGTCCAAGTTTTTGTGCATCCATTGGGCGGTCTTGTTTGTTGCAAAGATGGCCGTATCGATTGTCTTTGTTCACGTATTATTCCTGTCAAACTGGATGAACTAACAACCGGAAGAGAATGTAAACACCAAAGGGGTACGGTCATACCGTTAAAGTGGTTCGTTGCATGGAAATAATAGGCATCGCACGCGCCTTTGTTTATTTTTGTTCACAGTTCGGATGGCTCCCCTAAGGTCAGGGTTATGCATGTTTCCTGATTGGAATTACGCCAGATCGCCAATCGACGCCCCACTTTTGCTTTTCTGTACAATTTCCCCCATACTCCATTATTGCACAGATGTCTTCATGTGAATGATCGCCGTTTCCAAAATGTGTATTTACCTGTTTGTGACCAAAGAGACAACAGCATGCAAGAAATGATCGACTCCTTGTATATGGCCGACTATTTGGCATGGAAAAAAAACTCTTATAGTTTGCCATGCATGCCAACACATATCAACACATACAAACACATACCAACACATACCAACACCAACACATACTAATAACACTAATACTATAACTTAACATAAACAATACACACACGATTCTATTATTATTATCCACTCCACAAACCTGTTAAACCTGTTCCTAGTTGGTTTGGCTCGGTTATTTTTGTTCCATGTGTTCAATGCCTATTCCGCCCTCCCCACATTACACAATTATTGATTGGTGCACTAGACTATGGGGTAAATCCCACGCAAAGGTTTGAATGGGTGAAAAATCATCGTGTGAGGAAAATTTCTCAAGACAAAGAAATCTCAACACAGAAATCCCAACACAATGCGAAAATCTATTATCCGTTCTCGGGTATTATTATACAATGTAAACATCTTGTGAAGTTACACTGCTAAAAAAGGATATTTGGGCAAGTTAATGACAAAAGAGAATGGAATTCGTTGAATAATAGCAAGGTACAAGGTATTATTGCAGATATGTAACTGGTAATCGTTTGAGAATGTTAATGTACACAGAAAATGGCCTGATTTTTGATAACGGGGAAAGAAAAGAAATACCATACCTGCTCTAACTGTAAAGGCATTAGCATAACGCGCGCCTGCCATGTAAAGGAAATCAATCCATTTACATTGGGCATCTCAGTTCCCCAATTCATGAACATTCTAAGCAAGAATGGCTAATAAGGAAATTGGCAGATAGTAATAGCATTAAGCATGCCTGCTGGAAACGTTAGAATGAACGTTAATACGCCGGTTGTTAAGTGGCGCCCCCGAAATATTGTCCGCGAGGAAAACAATACAACTTAATGCTTTATTCAAATTTACAACCGCCAAAAATCAACTATGCGATTTCTCGTGGACGTTGAGATTGAAAATTTGCACGTGGTTTTCTAGAGTGTAAAATTGCTCGTTTAGTTTTAATTGCTCCCATGTCAATTACTTGCAAGTCAGATTCATGCTGTCGCCATCTGTGCATGTGCGAATCTGCAATATTATGCGTGGTTTCCATATCCGGCGGCTCATTACGTCAACATCCCAACGCTATACTAGCAATTAGACTCAACTCCAGACATGACCACCACGTCGCCCACTGTACACTTTTTGTCGCAAGTATGTCTTAGCACCTACTGCGAAAGGGATTGGATAACATAATAGATCACATACAATATACCAACTAACGTACATATTCAACAGGAAACGACTACACTAATAGTAAAAAACCTCCCCAATCTACCCGAGCAAGACATACACGAGTTTCTGAGACACTTTGGCGCGCAGGATATACGAATACTCAATTCACAGCACTCGGTAAGTTAGGGAAATTCGCAACATAAGCTTAAACAGCACTGGAATCTCGAGTCCTCGTTCCCATCTAACAGACAATCGTTATATTGAAAAGCCGCATTCAGCCTTTATAGACTATCCCGATCGTCATACAGCAGCAACAGCATTCCAAAAGATTAGTTCGCTCGAGCCTGTTTACGGAAAGAAGATACGCGTAGAATATGCATTGCCATCTCACGCAACGTTGGTTAGGGACAGATCGAATAGGGAGGAAGCAAGCGAAGAAAGAGACGGCGGAAAGAACGAAGCCGGAGAGAGTGCATCATGGAATCAGAAAGATACTATGCAAACAACCGGACTACAGTCGCATCAACAAATTCAACAACTACAATCGCAGCAACTACCACCACCACAACAGCAACAACCATCGTCACAACCACATACACAACTATTACCACATATGGCAAATATAATACCATCAATGGCTTCGTTTGATCCGTCATCTACGTCTTCCTCATACGCACCATACTCACATCCTCCGCCGCCGCCGCCGCCGCCACCACCACCACCACCTCCACCGCCTGAGCCTGTTGCGCCTTCATTGGGGTAATGTATGTGTGGTTACGGGAGTAGTGATTTGATAGCAAAGGAAAAGTCAGTCTCTATCGTAAGATTTGAGCAAGACTATTGATAAAGAGTCGTCTGCTTACTCTCGCCCGATATCTGTTCCTGCACTTTCCGTCTCTTTACCCCTCTTTCTCACCCCCCCCCCCCCTTTAATCTACATATCTAAATTCAAAAATATCTTTTATTTTTTAGAATAAACTATCCCTCAAATCCCCACTTACACTATCGCTATCCTCCACCAACAGTAGAAATTCTCCAAAACATTACATCTGCCATTGCTGCAGTTCCGCGGCTCTACACTCAAGTATTGCATTTGATGAATAAGATGAATTTACCGCCGCCGTTTGGGCCCGTTTATGAAAACAGTGTCCCGGAATTGGTAAGAACGAAATGGGGTTGATCAAAAAAGTGGGGGGGGGGGGGGGGGGGGGGGGGAAGAAAAAAAAAGGGGGGGGGGTTGTGTTTTTTTTTTTCCCCCAAATTTTTTGGGGGGGGATTTTTTTTTTTTTTTTATTAATTTTTTTTTTTTTAACCC